AGGTTCAAAGCTTAACCGCAGTTAAGGCCCCATCCTCAAGCCTGACGCTTCTGCTTACCGCACTTGGCGAGACACTCATCAACCTTGATGCCCATATCCATGGGAATAGAAGCCCTGATCTTCTCAATATCCTCACCATCAACGGCCTCTCCCAAAAGACGAATGACAGCGTCATTCTTGATAGAGAACAGCCCAGGCGCAACAGCAGCAAAGCCAATATCCTCGGAGGGGAATGCAGCGATGGCACTGGCGGGCTCGCAGTCGGGGTTTACCTGGTAGTGCTTGGTTCCCTGGTAGAAGATGGTAGCTTGACCAGCGCCGATTTCATTGCGGATAACGCGAGGCTTTCCCTCGGCGTCGAGGACGCCGGATTCGGGAACGGCTTCGGTGTAGACGCGGCCGGACATGACGGCAAAGAGCTCGGAAGCTCGGGGGTGAGTGTGAAGCATGATCATAGAGCAGCCTGAATACAATTAGCATGTAATTTTCAAAAACGAGAAGGGTGAATATATACCTGGGATTTGAGCGGAAGCCAGACTGAGGCCAGAGCCTGTAAGAGCAGGGAAAGTCTGGCTGTTGGCTATAGCACTGGGAGTGCTGTTAAAGTTGAAGAGAAAGTCTTTGTCCTCGGGAAGAAGACTATAGCGATCAACGAAGCTGATATGAATGTTAGGAGACCTGTAGTTCGAGAGTTCAAAATTCATGACATACGTGTCGGCGAGTCGCAGCTTGGTAGTCAAACTGACCTCGGACGTCTTGCCCTGGGGAGCTGCAGCCGCGAAGGACGAGCAGCCCAAGAGAGCAGCAGTAGCGTATATCACGGCGTTAGAGAACATTTTGATGATGTTGCGATTGGGGATTGTTCAACGAGTGCGAAGATGCGAAGGTTGTTGAGTTATTGGGAGTAGGTTGTGTGAGGATGTTGAGCGATTGTTGCTTGATCGGATCAACTTCAACAAGAACATCAACTAGTTTATATACTCAAAATATTCAAGCATTCACATATAGACAAATTGTTTTTACACTGACCACCAGCCTCGTCATGGCGTATCAGGGTCCCCCGTAGCCGGACACTACCAGCCCTATCCGCTTATACGCAGCTAACTTGAAGATCATTAGCTAACTCAATCTTGTTAAATTAAGGTTGATCTTGGCGTAAGCGCCAAACTTCCGAAAGACTACTTTTCCGATCATAGATATTGCCGCGGTGGATTTGGTTGGCGTACGTCGTGGGTATGGCTGGCGTATTCCGGCGTATTCGAGCGTACCGGCTAAGAAGCGACGCAACGGCGGATACGTAGGTGACTGGAAGATTGAGGCGCATGACACTGCAGATTATACTCATAATATTCGCAACCAACTATTACAAATCTTGAGGTGCGATGTGACCTACCGGCGGGCTCAACAGCCTTACTCTTGATCGTATTCTCCTAACTGTTTGGCTACATCCCGATACCACCATCATCAATTCCAAATTCGTGGCTCAGCGGCCTTTTTGGATATCGCATTGGAGATATAAAATTCTCAATGTGTGGTGGTATCGTAATAAGTTGTTTGTGAAGTCGACAGATCACGACATAGCGATCTTCTATATAACCTAGATCATCCCCTCACTAACGACGACGAGGCAATCTAGCATATCAGACATCTTAACACAATGTTCACAATCGGCCTTAAGAGCGCTGTTGCTCTTCTCATTTTGTCTACCTCCTCCGCTGTAGCACAGAATCCCTTCCCAGACACTACCACCTGTGACAAGACATGCCAGGCCCTGACCCTCAACGTATCCTCCTGGATCTCAGAGCAACAGTCTGACCCAACATTCTCCTTCTATAAGACCCCTTCAAACTTCTCTAGCAAGCTATCTCCTGGTGCTGTACTCAAGACAGAGGATGTCACTAACCTGGATAACTACGTCGTCCCCAGCGGTCTGACCATGTCGCGAATCATTTACACCACTGAGGATCTTGATGGAAAGGTCATTCCCACTTCAGCTTATGTCCTCTGGCCTTATACTGCATTCCAAACTGGTTCAGGCTCTGCTAAGAAAGGCCTTCCAATGGTTGCTTGGGCACATGGCACAACTGGTACCTTCAAGCCCTGTGCACCTAGTAGCTACAGAGCTTTGCAGTACCATTTCCAAGTTCCTTTTGCTCTGGCACTTCAGGGGATTGCAGTTGTTGCGCCCGACTATACTGGTCTTGGTGTATCTGAGCTGCCTAATGGAGACACCATTCCTCATTCTTGGGTCACAGCACCGGCTCACGCGAATGATCTTGCTTTTGCTGTAACAGCAGCTAGATCAGCGTTCCCGGATCTTCTTAGCTCTGACGGTTCTTTTGTCGCTATGGGTCACTCTCAAGGCGGAGGAGCATCTGTAAGTTAATGTCCCTCTACATAACGTATTCTTTGTGCTCGATTGCTATGGGCATGGTCTACTACCATCAAAGTACTAACGCTGACTATTTTTTCCAGTGGGCTTTCGCAGAAAGACAAGCTAAGAAGCCTCTTGATGGATACAAAGGCACAGTCTCCATAGCGCCAGTGACTAGGATCCTCGATGACTATGCCTACTGGACCGAGAACTCGATCGCATCACCAGGCCTGCTTGCGCAATCCGCGGTCATCGACTCAATCTCTAAGATCTACCCCAAGTACAACTACACAGGTTTCACTACTACAGGCTACGATCGCTGGCACAACGTGATTGCCAAGATCAAGGGATGCTTCCCCGTGTTAGCCTTGGTGACAATGGATCTCACTCCAACCGATATCGCGAAGTCGGGCTGGTATAAAGATCCGACTGCTAAGAAGTGGGCTGATCGAGTCGCTGTGGGACGGAAGAGTTTTGCTGGTCCATTGCTCGTTATCAACGGCGCAGATGACCATGTCGTTCGTCCCGGGGGTATTGACGCTGCTGTCAAGGACACTTGCGATTTGGTGAAGAAGTCTGGCAGTAAGGAAGCTTTGGAACATGCCACTTTCTCTGGTATGGATCACTTTTCTGCCATTCAGGCTAGCCAGATGAAGTGGATGGACTGGATCAAGAGTAGACTTTCCGGAAAACCCCTCGAGAAGGGTTGCTCTGAGGAACTTGTTGAAGGACTGAGGACCAATGACACTGTTCATACACTGGGCCCGAACTTCTTCTTGTCACACTTTGACACAGCAGAGAGTTGGAAATACAGTCTGTAACGGAATGCAGTGGATGGATATCATGTTTCAATAGTTCTGAGACTACTGCTTTCGTTAGCTAGACTTGGATAAGTGCTGTACTGAATACGAGGAACGGGGCCACGGCGCGAAACAGATTGACAGAATGGAATATTACTATGAATGGGGTTAGAACAGATGGGATACAGTACAAAGATAGCGGATCAGAGAATACTACATGGCCGCATGCCTCAGATGCTTCCCTCCCACGTAACCCTCAGCTGTATCAACAAACAATTTCCTCCCCTTGACATACGATACCATGAATGAGAACAGCTTCCAGTTCCCAATCTGACCCGTCGCATACTTCTTACCCAGTGACACGAATATCATCTTCTTAGTCGCAGGCTGATACGGCTTGATATCCCCCTTCCCCGTCAAAGTCGCATCTAGGGCTGTTGCCAAGTGAATGATCTGATTGTCCGTGATGGTCAATTGCTTGGGGTCGATGTTGCCTACGTCGCCAATGCCCCAGATATTCTTTGTCCCCATGACTCTCATCTTTTCATCCAGCTTGATGCTTCCTCCAGAGTCTAAGAATGATGGTGGCACGAATGAGGTGTTGAGTTTGATGCCGTGTAGTGGTAGATAGAGATCTGTTGTGAGGGTGCTTCCATTGGACAAGTGCACTTCTGTCCCTTGGCCTCTTTCACTCTTCTTTGCTTCGGTGACGCGCGCATTGTAGATTAGTTTGACCCCAAGGGTCTCGAGATCTCTTGAGATTGATGCGCGAACTGAATCAATGGCTCCTTCCAATGGTTGTTCACCACTAATAACGAGGGTGATGTTCTTGGAAGAGCCGTATCTTGCGGCCAATTCACCAGCAACTTCAGTTCCAGTAGCACCACCGCCCGCGATTACTATTGACTTTGAGCCTCCGACTTGGGTTTGCAATTGCTTCCATGCTGAGATGGTCTCTTGATACGTTCCAACAGGCTTTAGTGGAAGATCACTAGCCAGTCGAGACCCTGTGGCAATGACCAGCTCATCATACCTAATCTCGCGCCTGGTATTCTCATTAGAGATTGCATGAACAGTATTCGATGCTGCATCGACTCCATCTGCTTTCCCAAGGAGGAACTCAAAGTTCTCAGAGGAGTATTGATCGAAGCCCGGCTTGACTGGTAAAAAGAGCTGCTCATCTGGGATGGCGTCCGGTATTATCCCACGAGTCGCAGCGACATTCCAGAAGAAGTGACTGTTGGGAGAGACAAGAATGACTTTGAGATCAGGAACCTTGGGGAGGGTGTGTTTGAGAAGCTTGTGGGCGAGTGGAAGACCTGCCCAACCTGCACCGAGAATGACTACTGTTTTTGTCATGATGGCTGGTGATGTTGTTTAAATTATATGGAAGCGAAGGATTTTAGTCGATTATGTTTACTATGTAGTACTGTAATGTCATTTATACAAACATACGGGTGCTCGGTGTCGGTGATGGACGTACGTTGGTGTTGAGGATGTTTATCTAGAGGTACATCTGGCCAACTACAAACTACTCGTAGATCTATGTATATTTGTTAGTGTTCTCCGCCCTCACACTCGGTGGTGTGAATGCTCCGGTGACAGGGATCACGACCGAACGCCGTGTCCGAGAACGATGACGATCCCCCGATCCTTCGGCTCCCCTCATCAACAGCTTCAGTAAAGCAAAGTGTACGCAATCGATTCTATCAATTGAACCTTAATTACCTCGAATTCATTGTTTCCGTCTCCTGTTATCCAAGTATCTACCCGTTGCCCGTCACCACCCTATACCTCTGTGTCTCTATCGGAGCTTATAACCCCCGATGGACCGATCCATATCAACATCCCATCATGAGGTCACAACCAACCTCAAGATCTGGAGCTGTGTAACCTGTCGTCGTCGCAAGATCCGCTGCGACAGAAAAGACCCATGCAATAACTGTATGAAAACTAACATCGACTGTCATTTCCCCGTGACAGGTCGTATCCCAAGACGAACTCGCGATGCCAAGACTCCAGCTCAGAAACAATCTGAATTGCTCAGTCGCCTTCGTCGTCTCGAGTCAGTCGTTACTGAACTCGCGGCGCAGGTTGAGGATGAAAATGGGGCAAAGACTATGGGTCAGATAACAGTGGATAAGGAGCCTACAGAGTCTTCTTGGGCTACGTCATCTGGCAGTCTGGATCATCAGACTTCGGAGTTTGATGAGGACTTTGGGAGGCTTGTTATTGACAAGAACGGTACTCTTCACGTTGGAAACCGCTTTTGGACGGTATTTTGCAGCGAGGTTGGTACTCGACACCCTAGCGATGATCTAAACACTAACAAGTGGCAGGTCGACAACATACTCCAAGCTGTACACGACGTTGCAGATACCTCGGAAACCCCAAGTCACTCAATCATGACAGAGCCTACCACTAATGGGGCTCCGGCTCCTCTAAGCCATCTTGGCTTTGTCTTTGGCAGCGCAGAGTTCGCCAAAGCGTTAGATGGGCTCAACCCCATGCCCTCTCAGATGCTCTTCATATGGCAGACATACATCGAGAATGTTGACCCTTTCATCAAGGTCCTTCATACTCCAACAATTGAAAATTTTGTCAAACAATTAAAGGGCAGCTTTAGCTCTTGGGGTCCCAATGTAGAAGCCCTGTTGTTTGCGATATGCTTAGCGGCCATTGCGTCTATGGACGAAGAGACAGTCTCGTTGAACTTCAACACATCTAGAGAACAACTGCTACAGCGGTATCAATTCGGTACTGAACAGGCACTTGCTCGTGCCAACTTTCTGACTACAAAAGACATCACTGTCCTTCAAGCCCTGGTCATATACTTATCGCTGCTACCAAACATTGGGGCTCAAGATAAGGTATGGTCATTGACAGGTTTGCTCCTCAGGCTAGCAAAGTCAGTAGGACTTCATCGCGAGGGAGAGCCACATCAGTACAATCAGCTCGAGAGGGAGATCCGACGTCGGCTCTGGTGGCACATCTGCTTCATCGATTCTAGTAGTCGAAGGGCTGACGCTCAAGACCTGTCAATCACCCCAGCATCATTCAGCACAGGTCTCCCTACAAACTCAAACGATGTCGACCTAGACAGCTGGACGACTCAGATTCCAAATCCTAATCAAGAGTCAACAGGCGTGACACTCTGTCTCATCCGCTGCGAGCTGTGGTATCTCACACAAGCCATCCGCGCCGATACAACCGACTCTCTTGAGACCCGTCTCGGCCTCTTCAACGCCCTGAGACAAAAGGTCGAGAAGACTTACTTCCAGCATCTACGGCCCAACCAACCATGGGACTCCTTCATCAGGACGATGACAACTCTGTTCTTTGCCAAAGTTGAACTAGTTATTCGACGACGATCCAAGACTCTCCCTGCAGCAGATGAGCTATTGAACCCCTCTATCACAGTGATCAAAGCGGTCCAGTCTCTCAAATCAGAGCCTGCGTGGACAAAATGGCGCTGGCAGTTACAAGGACAAGTGCCTTGGCATGCAATGGGTGTCTATCTTCGTCAAGCATCTCGACTCCCTTGGACACGGGAACTAGAAGAAGCATGGGGCACGACTACAGCTTTGAAAGAAGGATTCACAGAAGAAATGGAGACTGGATCACTGTGGAGGTCTCTCATGCAGCTATTCTCGGAAGCTGAACAGCATCGTGAAAAGGAGCTCAAGCGTGAAGGAGCAAATGCCCAGCATACCCGAGAGAAGGGAGACCGCGTGAATTCTAATGTCCAGCAGATGCTCAACAATGCTGAAAACCTGTCAAACGAGATCCCTGTTAACCATCCTCTAATTGATACTTCGACGTTTAACTCGTCTCTACATATATCTCCGCCAGCAGACAATGGGGCTCTCTCCGTGGAACGTCTGTCAACGAGTCTAGGTACAGCGACTGATGATCTTCCTTCGTGGGTTGAAGCAGGAGGCGATATGAACTTTGCCCAAGACCAAAATTTCGGAAACTCATCCTCTGATGGAACCGCCGATGGGGTGGATTGGGATGCCTTGATGGATCTAGACGAAACATGGAATTGGGACTTCCTGTAGACCACAGTAGATTCCTTGAGCGGACAATGGTGAGCAAACTTTCTCATTCGGACTTGAGACACTGAGTATACGAGAATAATGATTGCCTGTTTGTTCTTTGCATTCCTTACATACGCTCGTGAAGACGAGCTCACTCAACTTGCCGAGTTCCGGCCGATCCTTGCGATGCATTACGATGTTCGATAAGAGGTCACAATAGTTACGTTTCGCAAAGATTTGAGACTGTTAATGATAGACTGGTTTATCGAAAGCAAATAATTCCGTGATATCGACCCTTAAAGTCCCTAGTTGGTTGCTTTTACGAGCTGTACAATGAACCGTCGCTGGTGACATTCCGCAATTCACATACCCATCTCCCACCACACGCACTATTGAATGGGAGGGTCTGTCTCTATTCGGAATAGAAAGATTTGTTTTTTTAAACATGCGGAAAACCGGCACTCGACTGTGGACTCTTCAAGATTCTATGTAGGACAGCCTGCAGCTCTATATCCCTTGGCTTGACGACCAGTGGCATCTGTCAGACACCATTATCAACATTCAAACGTACAAAGAGGATGCGACGTTGAATACAAAGTAATTAAGAAAATATCTAGTGCATGATCTACTGCCAGGAACAAAGCGTTCCTGGATCCTTTAGTTAGAACTCAACAGCCTTAACTCCATCAAAGTTGCAACGTCGATATTCACATATCCAGGAACGATCCTCCACGCCCCAACACCGGCACATTCGTCTATTACGTTTCGCAAGGTCCCAAGCTATTCAGGGTCTCGAACAAATAGTGCAAGTGTAGTGCAAAAGTTACACTCCTATTCACAGCGTTGCTAATACCCCAGCTTCGTATTACGGCAACCGGAACGTCTAGCTCTGCAAGGGTTCGACCTTCTGGACCTCGAGTATCGTGACGGGTTAGGGGGTCCCCGGCTAACGGCAACGACCTCATTGTTTGTCAAGGGAGCGCAGCCGATCGTATAGACAATTGCATCGAGTCAAACGAGGACCAGTAGCTGAGTTACCAGCTGCTGAGCCTCATCAGGGCGACGACCCGCTGTCACAGGGCCGAGAACACGGTCAGTGATGTGTAGAATATCTAGAATGGGGTCTATACGAAGGCATCCCTTGGCACCATGTGGTTTTGACGTTTTGACGCTTGACACAATATCCGCCTATACGGATCAGTCTGCCGCCTTATTCCCAGGGTATGGCAATGAAGTCTACATCATTCCATAAGCGGAGTTTCAGAATAGTAGCACCCAACTTCGTAATGATGGAATACGGCCCATATTTCGGCAGCCGGCAGTGACGGTGGGATAGTCTCAATAGTTTACGACTGAACGGGAGTTAGCAGTGGGACTAGTGGGCAAAGTGTCGTATAGCAAGTCATGATGTGATTCCAAGACTCGGCCGAAAGTTAATACGAGGAATTGAAGGGTCGGTTTGTCTCGGCGGTTATAATTATCCTGTCAAGCAGTCAAGTCTCGTCTCGTCTTGGAATGTCTTGTCATGATCAATAATGACGAATCTGAGACTCATTACCACGCGTACGGGCTACATATCCGTACAATCGGTTCAGCGTTTGCCGTCCCTTGGAATGATTCAGAGCGCCTCTGCCGGTTTCCCAGAGAACAAAGCAAACGATGATGCGGGTGTTCGGTGGTTGAATAAGATCTGTCAAGATATTCCCATGGAAACGTTTGATCGAAAAGTCAGATTCTTTCGCTCCCGCCGTTGGTGGTCACACCAGATCTACTCATCCTCCAATAGAAAGACCAAGATATTTCTAGCTGCTGCAAACAGTGGCGATTCGAGATAAATAAAGACACGAACCAACTGATAGAGGGTCAGGCGTGGATGTTACTGGACAGGCTAGACAGGCTATATGCAAGCCACGCGAAGTTGCCAGGGCAGAATGCCACCCGAGTTTAAAAGGCCCTATGCGCGCAAATGCAATACAACAGAGTGCCATTATCAAGACGGCATAACTGCATATGCATATATCGCTGTACACCGTTCCGGACATAGCGCGATCGGGCACTTGCACGTCCCCCCGTGCCAAGTCGCAGATGCCAAGAGGCCATTGCAGATTAGGTGCTCAGTCGACAAGTTTCACGATAACGGCTGCCAATTTGAGACCCTGCTAGCATCTCTGAACAATCGCAACAATCACACCGAGATTTCAACTCTGATCGTCCTCGATGGGAATTTCCAACGCTAATATCCAAGCGCAACGCGCGACCGGACGATTAAGGCTATCGGACTGGACTGAATCACCCTTGAACCAACTGCAGGGAAAAGGGGGCGACGGGTAAATTGGGGGCGGACCGTTGTTTAATGAAAAGAGGCACGGAAACGAATTAGTGGAACTTGTTCAGTGGACGGAACAGCAAGTTTCATGGTTAGAGGATATTCAGTGCGCGTCTCAGCTTTGAAGAGCCGGGCTCTGTGTCACTTTTGGTGCCGAGACAAGACAGAGGCAAGACAAGACAAGGGCAGTAAAGCTGATCGCCGAAGCTCAAACATAGGCAGTCCAGTCATACCGCAATTACTCGATTTCAAGGGAAGCCTTGATTTGTCTCTCTGGATCGCATCAAGTCATCCTTGCAGGATATGACCATGCTGAGTATGTCTCCTGAATATCACGGGAAGGAATGGAGTTGAAGTGGCGTGGAAGGATTGGGATTGTCATCTTTTGCGAAACGTCCTAGATCTGCAGGATTCCAGATTACTATGTACTCCGCAGTAAGCAATTGGATAAGATGAAGGAAATGGCGCTTCTCGAGCCGTTATTTGGTTCGGTACGGCTTTGGGTAGTCTTGAGTAGTGTCCTTTTTCTTTCCGACGCTTGTTGAGGGATTTGAGTATTGATCGTCGATTCTTGAGCCCTGGCTTGGATGCTTCGAGAAAGAACCGCAGCCTGGGCTACGCAATCCAATGCAACCTTATTCTGACGAACAATTTCAGAACTCCGTCACAATTGCGCATACCATAGAATGGCTCTGCTGGAAGTTATATACATACGGCTTTGGGTAGTGAGGCTTTATTGAGTTTTGGTGATGATAATTGAACTCAATTGAAGTATCGATTCACATGGCGTCCAATACGAGTTTTTACTGGCCTAGCGAGGTCTCTAATCTCGAAGATCCAATGTGGCTTTGCCGATGCTGAAGCCACGTTCTATTTGGGGGTTCTGTTTCAAGCCTCCGACGCGATGTGTGTCACTGTGGGGAGATTGAATTGAAGAGCAATTGAGGCGATGCAAAAAATGAGGCAATTGCGAGGAATAGTTTGCATTACATTCCGAGTAAGCGTCTGTGTTGAGCATGTTCGCCTGGCATTTGTCTCTTCCTGACTTCCATGTCTTGCTAACACTGTAGGGAGTCTTCTCTGCAACAGGGAAACCCTTGGGGGTTGAAGCAAAAGTTTGAAGCAGGCTAATACCAAGCTTTTTCTCTGTGGTAGGTCGCGGGCGCCTCCTACGCCTGCCGAGCCCCTGATGCGTTTGGACGGTGTCCCCCGTAGAAACGCCCCCCTGAGCATCTCATCAATTGGATGGTAGCCAAGAGATCCTTCAGCGTTATAAAGGCGAAAAAGCCCAGCTTTTTAAATCGCCGGGGGCTTCTATCGTTCGCTTTTGGGCTCAATTAGGATCTTTTTTTTTAAAAAGGGGCGGGAAGCGTCGAGATAACCGCCCGAGAGTAAGCACAAAGCGGATAAGGATGGATTGAGGCGTAAATTCAGTTACAATCATTTCCTTTTCTTACACTGTTCTGACGAAGACGAGAGTTTTTGGTAACCAGGCCCCGCTTGCGCGTCACGTTAAAGCCCCTATCTCTCCAAGTCCAAGTCCAGGTCCAAGCAAGCCCGCCCGCCCGTCCCAACCAACCAACCAACCAACCTCCACTAGGTACAGTAAGACTAAACTTAACTTATCTTTTGAGGTCGCCTTCCTTTCTTCTGCCTTAAGGCTTATTCCCCCCCAGAAACCCCCCTCTTGTCCAACCTTTTCCTTGCTTGTCCCTCGTCGTCCCCTCGTAGCGAAAAAATCTCTTGGCTCATTCAAGACTTTTTACCTGCATCGCCGGACTCGTTCTTTTTTTCCCGCCGGTCGAGGGTTGTGATGATTTGATATTTCTCTCCTTCAACATCCATCCACTCGTTGCAATTTTACATCGGATCCGACCGTCACTGAGACTGAGACTGAGACTGGGACTGGGACTGTACAGGTACAGACAAAGGCTCAGATCGCATCGTTTCGCATCGCAAATCTCACATAATGGCTGTCGCTCTTCCAAGGCGATTTTACTCGCTGCTCTGGGTCGCTGTCCTACTTGCGCTCGTTGTCTTCTTCATCTTCCTCCGCGAAGACACCTGGTCTTCAATTCCTCGACCTCCCAGCGGCTGGAAGATTCCCTTCACCACAGACGATGGCGTTCTTTCATCATGGATGGGCGGTAGCAAGAAGAAGGGTAAGGACCCAAAGGAGCCTCTGCGCATCATGCTCGTAGAGTCCTCGGGCACACACGACGAGGTCGCCGCTGCTCTCATGCACGCTTTCGGAAACCAGGAGGGCTCTTCGCTCGACGTCTACTTCGCCAACCAGCGCTTCAACATGCAGGGCATCATGGCCAACTTCACCCTCGCTGCCAACGTCACCATCAACAAGTGGGACAAGTTCGCCAACGATGTCACCGAGAACCCCCCACATATCCTCGTCTCTACCACATGCGAGTTCGATCTCGACCGTGGCACCGATCCTATCGTCAACCTCCTCAAGACCGCAAACACCCATCTCTTCTGCACAATCCACCACGCTGATCGCTGGGCCCAGGGCAAGTATGTCCAGGCCGTCCGCAGCTGGGCAGAGCACGAGCGTGTCGACTTCGTTGGTCTGAGTCAGCACACCATTGACTTCTTCCTCAACGACACTATTCCCAAGTGGCACACGGCTGCTAACCTCACCACTCGCGTCATTCCCCCGGTGTTCCCCGTCCACATTTCC